TGTAAAACAATTTTGTTTCTTATTTAAATTAAAAAAAGGAGAAAAAAAAAAAAGAAAGAAAGTGTTGGATCTGGCCCCTCAGTGTGAAAGCTGAAAGGTAGTAGATCTGCCTGCCTAAGCTTTGAAAACCTTGCAAGCTTAAATGACTATAATAATTAGAGCATTGTATCTTGAGACAAAAAAAATGTTTATTTGTTCTAAAAGACAATTAGAGAGTACACCCTCAGGTTTTGCAACCTAATGACAAAGGCATGCACTTCTCAGTAAAATAGCAAAATAATTAATGTTAAATCCCTGGCTTACACCAAGTTCACTTTCCACAAACTCAAGAAAATGAAACGCCTCAAGCATGATTTTAATCTAATCTTGATATTTAACCTCATTTTATGCAGATTGATACCAGCTTTTAAAATAGCTACTTTTAAAATTCAAAGCACATGCATTTCTGCTTATGGTTTCCTTCTATTAAGAATTTTTTTGTTAAAGAAATTTTGTCCCTTCTTTTTATTTTAGATACCAAAATCCTAAATTACATTGCCTTGTAGGTTTAAATTAGGAACCTATGCTAGCAAGTGTGTAACATAATGCACATTAAAGGGAATTACTTGTGACAGTTAATATGATTCTAAGCAGTGAATTATTAGACAAAAAAAGGACTTACACAACTGATGTGTTCATTGTGGTATCAAGCTTAAAGGTATCTTAAATAATGGAATATTTGTATTCTTTATAGCCAAAAATTGATTTTTTAAAAAAATTCTTAAATTTAAATATACTGTGGTACATTATTCTGTAATGAATCTTTACAATAAATTTTCTAAGATCTAGAATATTATCTAGTGTAACAGGGCAAAACATACAGCGATTCCCCCATTTTGTATTCTTGCTGAGGCCATTTCAGGTATAACTAGAATTTTATTTCCTTGCTAAAGAATCCCATGGAAAACTACCCAGCTCTTTCAAGGAACTCAAGGTCAGGATGTCCTAACTAACCTGTCTCAGCTTGTGTTAAACTGCCTGTTTGTACAGAACCCTCTCCAGCTAACTGCTTACCTTAGCTTCTGTTAAAACTGTTTGCTTCAAACTGCTTACTTTTGGGAGGCCCCCCTGCAGCTGCCAAGCCAGATGCTAGGACATGGTTTCTGCTGTTAAAAGCCCCATTCTGAATACTCAAGGTCACACCTAGACTTGCCACCTCCAACACTTGGGTGTGGTCCCAGCCAGCTGGAATACAAACTTTCATATATAGACTGTGTGGGCAACCCCTAACACTAGTTTTCCATGATTTAAGATGGCATCATTTCAGATTGAACTGCATCTTTAGTAATCACTTCATGTTCATTATTGAGTAAAAGACTCCTTTAAGAACATGGCTGCAAGGAAGAAGTAAATGGGATGGGGGTGTAACTTTAACTGGGAGCTGGGAGGGATGTTAATATAAAAGGGAGAGGAAGAGAGAAGAGACAATAACATTAATGATACTTGAAAAACCCACTGAGGAATATTATTCTAAAAGCATACTTTGAAACATAGTGTGTTACTCTGTCTCTCTTCTCTGTCTCGCTGTGTGTGTGTGTGTTTGTGTGTGTGTGTGTGTGTGTGTCTGTCTGTCTGTCTGTCTGTCTGTCTTTCTCCCCCCCTCTCTCTTTTTCTTGTGTGTGTGTGTGCAGAGTTTAAATGAAGTTGCAGCACTTGGGATGATAATACTCAAAACATGAGCCAGAGACTGTCTAACAAAACACCCAGTACCAGGCATGAGAAACCTTCTTTCAATTCATCAATTATGGGAGAGTCCAAGAGGGTCTGGAACAAGATAGCCTATTGCCCTTGATTGCCACCTAGAAGGCAAAGGTTGGGGCTTATTACTGTAGGCGCCATACTCTTTAGACACAGGACTTGGAGGATTCAAGCTAGAACTCACTTGAAAGCTTCCTACCTAATGACTAGGTCTCATTGTATCAGAAGGTGCTATGAAAGCTTTCCACAGAGAAAAGTCATCATTAGTCCTGCCTGGCTGTCCAGCCTATGAAGCATAATAACTAGCCTGGCAAGGTATCCCCAACAGTAAAGTAGTGATACATATTTTAGGGATAACTATCAGCTTTCTAATTGCATTTAAGGTTCACTCAATAGTGAATTTGTGCCTGATTTTGTAAACCTAGTCAGCTGCCTAAAATAATAAAATTCCATGTTGTATTCTAATAATACTTATACCAAGAGATAAGTAGGTCTCTCGTTCATCATCAATGAAGCTTATTTTTGTAAGTATTTTCACAACTGGTGAAAATGCAGAAAATAAATAACCATGAGGGTGCTATCCCAAATTGGCAAATCTGTAACACATCCCCTACACCTAAGACTCACAAAAACATTGGGGAGCTGGGTGTAGCAAGAGCCATAGGACCAGGTTGCCTTGCTGTTAGACAATTTCTTCTAGACATAATGAGGAAGGTACACCCATGAATTTTCAGCAATGTTGTTACATAGAAAAGACCTGTATAATGGCAACAACAGTTGACATGCCAGTATGGATGGAGGAAGTTTCTCTAGGTCCCACCTCTAGATAAAGAGCTACAGGCAATCAGTGACTGCTGAAAGGGACAAGCTCCCTGGTGAGTTATCTAATCTCAAGTATCATTCCTAAACACATGCCATACTAAATAGACTCTGTAGGCTTTGTATGTGTATGCATATGCAACTGAGTGTGTGTATGTTATATATAGATGTATGCATATGTGTAACAATAATTGAAGAGATCATGAATTTGAATGGACATGGGTATGAGCCATGGTAGGAGTTAAAGAAGGAAGGAGGTATGGAAATATTATAAAAATAGTACTCACGTATAGAAATTCTAAAAAATGAAAAAATTCAAATGAAAAAGTTCAAAGTGTAAGTATAGTTTATCAACTATGTTTATTCTTTTTTATATTGTGGCTGAAACTTTGTCAGTGTGGTTACTAAACTCCCCACCCCCAATCCTTGTTTCACTCTTATATTGCATCCATAGTTTTGATAAAATTAAGTCAATTGTTTTCCATTTATCAAACTAGGTTTCACACAAAAGAACTTCAATTGGTTGGAAGGAAACTAAATTTAGATGACGAGTGTGAGGAGAAAACAAAACAAAGAAATTGTCCTTGTGAGGTATTTTCGAAAAGAAAGATGAGCTTGTAACTGGACAGTTCTCAGGCAGAGAAGGGCTGGACATGAGGGTACAGATCCTCCATAGGTCCACATATATACCACCAGCCTCTCCTTACACTTCAGTAGCCGTTTCTTCAGTTAAACCAACGTTAGAAGACAACAATTCATCTTGGCTGTGTTCTACTTGATTATCAAAAACACAAATGGTATCTGTAATGAATTTTACAAATAGCCTAGAATTTGAGTGTAGTTTTTTTTTCTCTTTTCAACCTGAGAAACTGTGTTCTGTTGATGCAAATGGACATTTATAAGTGGATGGAAAAATACAGATGCAAACATACAGTGGTAGGAAGTTTTGCATGTCACCCAACAGGCATGAGATTGTCAGGATAGCCCTGTTGACATTTAGGGCCTCACCTAACTGGGGCCAGTTGCTAGCTTTCACATCCTCCTTGTTAACTAGCACATTAAAAACCCAATTGGCCTTTTTTTAAAAAATTCTAATCAAAACTAGAACTGAGTTTTTTTTTTTTTTTAATCCGCTTTTCCTTTGACTCAGTATGAGTCATTTTCCTTAGCAAAAAGGAATTAGATGCCCCCTCTATGCATCAACTGGAACACACACTCAGGGAATGCTATAGAGATGTGGAAAGGTGAATTTCCACCAAGTTCTCTGATGAAGGAAATTATCAACCTGAGGAAGACCCAGAGAAAATACTGAGGAAATGATGACTAAGACATAAAGATAAAGCGGGAGGATGTGCCTCCTTATCCTAGGGATAACATGCAACAATGCCTTGGGAAGAATTGAGAAAACCAGAATGTGGAAAGAGTAGGAAATGTCAAAACAGGTGTTTACAGGTGATAAGGGCTGAGAACAACTGGGAAGCCACTGAGGAATCTAAGTGAAGTAATGTAAAGGAGACAATATGCTTCCCTTTCTGTAAGACCTCACGCTGCATTTTGGAGAAAGGATGGTATAAACACTGGAACAGTCACAAGAGAACCTAGGGTAATTGTGTACTCACCATTATTTGAGAAGTGATGTGTACACATTTTTAAAAAGATAATAATATGTTTTTCTGTTTAGGGAAATAATTTAAATAAAATTATTTTAGGAGAATAGCAAAATAGGTATTATTTTCTTTTTAGGTCAGCAATTTAAATAAAATTATTCACCACAAGTAAACAATACTGAATTGTGCTTTCTTGAGCATTTCCCTAGAGATTCTCAGTCACACAAATGGCAAATACAGTGTTTGATCTTGGGCCGTCTAGTGATGTGTGATTCCACACAGACTGTTCACAGAGCAATGGGAATGAAGTGAACGGTCTTAAAGTAACTTGTATATTTCAAGAATGACAAGTGTAGGATGTCCTACCAAAAGGAAGTGCCCAAGTAAGGATGGAGGCAGGGAAGGGCAGGCAATCTCAGAAAGTTAATAGGGACCAGACCCTCTGGAAGGAGAGGCTGGAGTCTCATGGGGAGCCTTAAAATGCTAAAAACATATTCTACATGTATTGGGCAACCTGGCAATCCTGAAGGTTTTAGACAGAAAGTAAACTGATGGGTCCCTTCCAGGGTGGCAAGTGCTTCCTTTCACTTTTCCTTCTTGGCACACAGCTGATTCACTTCTTTGAGCCTTCTATGCAGGGCTTCATGGCTATGTTTGATAAGTGGAATCTAATGAGTGCCAGCACCCTCCCAACTTACAACACTCTGTTCTCATGCCTTATCTGTTCATCCGACGCTATTTCATTTTGAATAGGAGTTGATTCAAACTCTGTGACATCTGAACTGCACTTTGAGAAGTATGGTAACATAATGTTTGTTACTTCACTTTCTCTAACAGACCAGTTCATCAACAAAGCAGGAGGCAGTATCCGGAACAGTAAAAGTCAAGATGTCTGCCATATTGCCTTCGGGTCCAGAGTCCTTGGACCGCCTCCACCCTCTGGCAGACGGAATAACTTGAGGCTCTCCAGTGAGGTAGGTGAAAGCTTTGATGAGCTTACCCAAGCAAGGGCAGGGGGTGGTGACATGTGGGCTTTCGGGAGGAAGGGAAGAGATGACCATGTGCATAAAGTAGACTTACATAAATTTGCAACAGGAATTTTAGATCTTAAAAGACTTCAAAATAGTTTCTTTTCTGTCATGTCAACATAATTAAAAATTTTGATAGTCTTTTCATTAAACATGTTGCTTGCAAGCAACTATATATGAACATATTTTGCCTTCTCTGTCAAAAGAAATGTTGGATGTAGACCAGTACCCACATAATGCACAGATTCCCAATGGTCTGCTTTTTATTTATTTTTATTCAAATTAGACACAATCTTATTTTATATACAAATCCCAGTTCCCTCTCCCTCCCATGCTCCCATGCCCCCCACCGGCCCCCATCCCATCCCTCTTCTGCTCCATAGAAAGGGTGAGGCCTTCCATGGGAGATCATCAAAGTCTGTCACCTCATTGGGGGCAGGGCCTAGGCCCTTCCCTGTGTGTCTAGGCTGAGAGAGTATCCTTCTATGGGGAATGGGCTCCCATTGTCTATTTGTACACTAGGGATAGTACACTAGGGATAAATACTGTTCCACTACCAGGGGCCCCATAGACTATCCAGGTCTCCTAACTGACACCCACACTCAGGGGACCTGGTTCTGTCCTATGCTGTTTTCTCTGAGGTCCGTGAGCTTCTCCTTGTTCAGATCAGCTATTTCTGTGGGTTTCCCCAGCCTGGTCTTGACACCTTTGCTCATCACTACTCCCTTTCTGCAACTGAATTCCAGGAATTCCACTCAATGCGTAGGTCTTTGCTTCTGCTTCCATCAGCTACTGGATGAAGGCTCTAGGATGGCATATGAGGTAGTCATCAATCTCATTATAGGAGAAGCACATTTAAGTTAGCCTCTCTGCTATTGCTTAGATTGTTAGTTGGGGTCATCCTTGTAGATCTCTGGCCATTTTCCTAATGCCATATTTCTCTTTAAACCTATAATGGCTCCCTCTATTAAAGTATCTCGTTTTTTGTTCTCCTCTATTCTTCCTCTGAGTCAATCTTCCTGGTCCCTCATGTCCTCCTCCCTGATCATCTTCTCCCCTTCTCTTTCTCCTAACTACCTCTGCCCCCAACCCCACCTCCACCCCCCCACCCTCTGTGCTCCCAATTTGTTCAGGAGATCTTGTCCCTTTCCCCTTATTTGGGGGACCATGTATGTCTCTCTTAGGGTCCTCCTTGTTTCCTACATTCTCTGGAGGTGTAGGTTGTAGGCTAGTAATCCTTTGCTCTATGTCTAATATAGGTATGTGAGTGAGTCCATACCATGTTTGTCTTTTTGTGACTGGGTTACCTCATGCAAATGGTTTCTTCTAGTTCCATTCATTTGCCTGCGAATTTCAAGATTCCATTGTTTTTTTTTTCCCCTGTGTAATACTCCATTGTGTAAATGTACCACATTTTCTTTATCCATTCTTCAGTTGAGGGGCATCTACGCTGCTTCCAGGATCTAGCTATTACAAATAATGCTGCTATGAACATAGTTGAACAGATATCTTTGTTGTGTGAATGTGCATCGTTTGGGTATATGCCTAAGAGTGGAATTGCTGGATCTGTGGTAGACTGATTCCCATTTTCTTGAGGAGTCGCCATTCTGATTTCCAAAGTGACTGTACAAGTTGACACTCCCACGAACAGTGGAGGAGTGTTCTCCTTTCTCCACATCCTCTCCAGCATAAACTGTCATTGGTGTTTTTGATTTTGGCCATTCTGACAGGAGTAAAATGGTGTCTCAGAGTTGTTTTGATTTGCATTTCCCGGATGACTAAGGATGTTGAGCACTTTCTTAAGTGTCTTTCAGCCATTTTAGATTCCTCTATGGAGAATTGTCTATTTAGTTATGTACCCCACTTTTTAACTGGATTGTTTGGTGTTTTGATAACTAACTTCTTGAGTTCGTTGTATATTTTAGAAACTGTCATTGGTGTTTTTGATTTTGGCCATTCTGACAGGAGTAAAATGGTGTCTCAGAGTTGTTTTGATTTGCATTTCCCGGATGACTAAGGATGTTGAGCACTTTCTTAAGTGTCTTTCAGCCATTTTAGATTCCTCTATGGAGAATTGTCTATTTAGTTATGTACCCCACTTTTTAACTGGATTGTTTGGTGTTTTGATAACTAACTTCTTGAGTTCGTTGTATATTTTAGAAATCAACCCTCTTTCAGATGTGGGGTTGGTGAAGATCTTTTCCCATTCTGTGGGCTGCCATTTTGTCTTGTTAACTATGTCCTTTGCCTTACAGAAGCTTCTCAGTTTCAGGAGGTTCCATTTACTATTTGTCGATCTCAGTGTCTGTGCTAGTAGTGTTATATTCAGGAAGTGATTTCTGCAGTTTGTGTTGTTGTTGAATTCTAACTTTAAAGCGTGGTGGTCCAATAAGATACAGGGGATTGCTCCAATTTTATTGTATCTGTTGAGATTTGCAATGTTTCGAGTATGTGGTCAATTTTAGAAAAGGTCCCATGTGGCCTGAGAAGAAAGTATCTTCTTTTGTGTTTGGATGGAATGTTCTATAGATATTTGTTAAACCCAATTGAGTCATAACTTCTGTTAGTTCCTTTGTTTTTTTGTTAAGTTTCTGTCTGGTGGTCCTGTCTAGTGGTGTGAGTGGGGTGTTAAAGTCTCCCAATGTAAGTGTGTGAAGTTTTATGTGTGATTTGAGTTTTAGTAATGTTTCTTTTCCGAATGCACGTGCCTTTGTATTTGGTGCATATATGTTCAGAATTGAAACCTCATTTTGATTGATTTTTTTCTGTGATGAATATGCAATGAAATTCTTCATCTCTTTTGATAGGTTTCAGTTTGAAGTCCTATTTGTTAGATATTAGAATTACTGCACTAGCCTGTTTCTTGGATCCATTTATTGGAAAATCTTTGCTCAAATCTTTACTCTGGGGTAAAGTCTGTCTTTGACATTGAGGTGTATTTCTTGTATGCAGCAGAAGGATGGATTCTGTCTTTGTATCCATTCTGTTAGCCTTTGTCTTTTTATTGGCAAGTTAAGAGCACTGATATTGAGGGAAATTAATGACCATTGATTGCTAATTCTTGTTTGTTTTTGATTTGTTGCTGGTGGTGGAATTGTGTGTGGATCTCCCCCCCCCTTTCTTCTTTTGACATTTGGTAAAGTGGGGTTATCTATTGCCTGTGTTTTTCTGGTTAAGGTTAACTTCCTTTGGTTGCAGTTTTCCTTCCAGAACTTTCTGTAGGGCTGGAATAGTGGGTATGTATTGTTTAAATCTGGTTCTGTCATGGAATATCTTGTTTTCTCCATTTATAGTGATTGAAATCTTTGCTGGGTATAATAATCTGGGTTGGCATCTGTGGTCTCTTAGTGTTGGTAGAATATCTATCCAGGACCTTCTGGCTTTCAGAGTTTCCATGGAGAAGTCAGGTGTAATTCGCATGGGTCTGCCTTTATATGTTACTTGACCTTTTTCTTTTGCTGCCCTTAATATTTTCTCTTTATTCTGTATGTTTGGGGTTTTGATTATTATGTGGTAAGGTGACTTTTTTGTGGTCCACTCTGTTTGGTGTTCTGTAAGCTTCTTGTACTTTCATTGGCATTTTTTTTACTTTAGGTTGGGAAAGTTTTCTTCTATGATTTTGTTGAATATGTTTTCTGCAACTTTGAGTTGGGTTTATTCACCTTCTTCTATACATATTATTCTTAGGTTTGATCTTTTTATGGTGTCCCATATTTCCTGGATATTTTGTGTTAGGGATTTGTTTGACTTAAGATTTTCATTGGTGGATGAATGTATTTCCCCTAGTATATCTTCAACGCCTGAGATTCTTACTTCCATCTCTTATATTCTGTTGGTTATGCTTGCATCTGTAGTTCCTCATTGTTTACCCATCTTTTCTAATGCCAGCATTCCCTAAGACTGTGTTTTTTTTATTGTCTCTATTTCAGCCTTCAAGCCTTGAACTGTTTGAAATGTTTCCTTCACTTGTTTGGTTGTTTTTTCTTGGCTTTCCTTGTTTTCTTTAAGAGTTTTGTTTATTTCTTGCATTTTTTGGTTTGTCTTTTCCTCCATTTTTTGATTTTTTTGTTTTTTCTTCCATTTCTTTAAGGTATTTTTTCATTTCCTCTTTGAGGGTCTCTATCATCTTCATAAAGTTGTTTTTTTAGGTCATTCTCTTCTGCTTCATCTTGCTGGTGTAGAGTCCCTAGGCTCTGGTCTTTCAGATGTTGAATGAGTTCTTATACTCTTGTCTTCCTATCCTTTCTTTCAGTGGGTGCAAGTGGGGTCTCTCCCTCTCCAGGTAGGTACGGGTTCAAGGCTCTCTCCAGGTGGGTGCAAGCAGGTTCAATATTCTGATGGCTCTCCTCTTTCTGTGGGTGGAGGCAGATTCTGAATGGCTTGGTCCACGGGGATGTGTTCACCCATGTGCGGTCCCAAGGTTAGGAGAGTACAAGAAGGGCAAGTGGAAGGCGAGCTGCTTTTTATTTTTAACTTCCTTAAATCTTTGATATGTTGGGTAATTCTTACTCATCTATTTGTTGCAGGCAGGCGTAGCTCATAGGGCATTTTAATTTTTGTGTCTAGGAGACCTGCTTGCCTGCTATTCCATCTCATGTTCTTTTTCTCCTTCCATTTCCAGTTTTCTCTAATTTCCTTGCTACCACTTTTTACCTGAGTTACTCTGGCTTTTTCTCACTTACTTGTCCAAGTCTTTTCCTATATAGACTTTATAGAGATTAAATGTAATTTCCTATTTTTAAACATACATGTTAATTCCTTTTCCTTGCAGACAGTAAGATCTGTTGGGTACAAAAATAGCCAGTTGTGCCAGCAATCTTCAATAGAGAAGCATGTTAATACTGCACAAGTGTCAGGCTTGCTGATACCTGAGTCTGAGCAGCAAGGAGAGAAAGGACATGATCACCAAGTGAAACAGGCCATGCCTACTTCTGGTAAGAATCACCTACAAAGAGCCAATGGAAAATAGTGAGAAGTGTTCTTATTGAGATAATTAAACAGTATTCAAGATTGGGCTAAGTCCAGAAAAGCACCATTTAACATTGAATGAGGTAGTGGAGAATACATTTAGAAGGATTATACATGCATATGCTGTCCTGGTTTTTGATTTTACGTTATCTTACTATAATTTCAGTTTCTGTTTGTAGAATATTTATTTTCTGTGCTCTTCATTTTCTCTCATTGATGTAAAAAAAAAAAAACTCTGTAGAAAGACGTTTGTCCCATTTCAGATTGAGAGTACAAGTCTAGCAGATAAGTGATTTGTAGCATATATTTATTAGAAAAATGGAGAGCAGAACCCAACTCTGAATTGTCTGATAACTTTCTGCCTTTCTTGTTCTGAATAAGACAATGGAGAATGAGTTTTACTTGAGTTAGAAATGAATGCTGACCACTACAGGTAATAACTTCCATGGGGATAATAAATGGCATAGAAACATGAGTAACGTAGCCATGTAGTCCTGGTTTTGCCAGTGGTTGTCTGTGAAGCCTGGTTTAAAGTTCTTCACCCTTGGAACCTCAGTTTCCTCCTCTATAAAGCAAGTCAAACATGTACCAAAGGGAGATTCCTCAAAAGGTTGTTGTAAGGAGCCAATGGTAAAAACCAGGAAATGTGTACTATTGCTCTAAGAAATAAAGGATTTAGTGAATATTAGCTGCTGCTATGATTATTACTTAAGTATCAAATTATTCTTTAGAATCCTTCTCCAGATTTGATCTCAGCTCAACATATGTCTTTAGAAAACTCCTTATTCTGCTACACTTCCTCGTTTTAGGAAAAGGATCTTACTGTCAATTTCATGTTTTATACATTTTAATATAGTGTGTTGTATGAATAACATCAACCACACTTGTTGTAGCCCTCTATCCTTTGGATGAAATTCATCACTCATATAGAAATTCTAATGTTGAAATAGGAATTAACACCTATTTTTTATAAAGGACTAAGTTGTGTCTTTTATTTGGCCTCAAATTATGTCAAAATGAATATTCTCATTATAGTGATTATTTGAATGAACATTGTACTTTCTGCTCTGGCTTTTGTTCTCTGGTATGGAAATTTACCAACCTGTCTACCTATTCTGTACCCACATCCCCCTCAACCATCAGCAGGTCAGAGAAACAACAGGAGAACTCACTTGAAGAACACCAGCGGAGAAAAGACAGAGGCACACTGTGGTATGACACTATGCAATACTATCTCAGAGCTGTGTATTATTCAGGGCAGTGGGATCTCTCTGCAGGTTGTAAATTTCAAAGGATTATGAGCCAATTCATTTAAAATATAAATGTCCGTTCTGTGGGGATTATGGAAATCAAATTTTCTACAAAAGTATTTCTCTAGAGTCTGCCCTAACAGAGACAAGCTGGATTCAATAGACAGGAGCTCAGAAATACAGGACCCTCCTCCCTTTACTCAGAGCTGAAGAAAGCTTAAATTACTGCTACTGTTGTTCCTAAAAGAGACCCAAAAGTGATAGAGGAAATTTCTGCCTGAAGTCTTTACCCAAATTGAACTTTATTATCATTTTTCAGATTTATTTTATCTTTTCTTTTAAAGCAGGCTCTTTCAGAACTCTTCTTACACTGCTGTGTCTCCCTTTGGAGTCTTTGCATATGATATTAGAAGCAGTTTCAAATGTAAACATTTCCACACTTAAGCATTAGATAAATTTAAGTGGCTGTTGTAGTTATCACTTTAAAGATGGGATTTGAGGCATGTTTATGTAGATTTTTTGATGTGTATATTAGTCAATTCCTTTAAAGAAGGGATTTGAGGTTTGTTTATGTATGTACATATATATATAATCCAGCCCAAAGGTGTTGGGAATAAATCTGTTAGCACAGTTTCCCAAAATGTGACAATTCAGTCTTCTAGGTCTTGTGTCATTCTTATCAAGGCTGGGTAGAAAAACTACTTCTCTAGTAACACCACATCCATCTTCTGAGAGAGATGAAAAAAAAAGACTTGCATTAAAAGAATTACAATTTAATTCTGTTATGGAATCCAAGAAAAAAATATAGGATGCCTTTAAAATTATGTCAGCTTGGGAATTCTTTGTATTATATACTGTACAATTTAAATCTAAAATGTCCTTTTGTAGATACCAAAGCCTTTTAAGGTAAAGCTCTACAAAAATGCAACAGAGATCATCTTAAAACATTCAACCATTTTAAGAAAATGCACATGAACCATAATAATAATTCTCATTTGCTTTTAAATAATTAAATGAAAAAATACAAAATACCTTCAAAAACAACTTTTTACAAATATCAATAGAATAATACAATAGAAATATCTCTTCCAAATAAGGCAGTGCCTCAGGAAATAACTGGAATGAAGAGGAAGGAGCCACCACCCTGAACAGCATCACTCAGCCATTGACAGAGCCAGTGAACTCCAGCACTCCAGAACCCCAGACTCCTGACCAACCAGGTTAGCACCCTTAGTAGTCACAAAATTTTACTGGAAATTTTGAGGAGTCCTAACACTCTTGTCACCTGTTACTAGGAAAATTAGTGTCCCCTGTTGAGGTTCATAGGTTTCATTAATAAAATAATTTAAGAATGGACACAAATAGAAAGTTGGAAACAGTTTTATTAGACTTTGAAAGGAAAACCTCAAGGCAGACAAGCTGTAAACCTCAGCAGCTCCTCTGTGGAGAGGGATAAAAAAAGAGAAGGAAAAAAGCCTTGATGTTTGAGTTAAGCCCCCTTGGAGGTCAGGCAAGTAGCCTCATAGTGTTAGGGAATGGGAATTCTGGCAAGGAAAAGTATAGTCTCTAATTAAATGGTGAATTATTCCACCTCTGTCTCTATCATGGTTTAAGATGGACTCACCTCCCTAGGGGTGGGTGGTCCTTCCTTCCTGAGAGTTGATCCCTTAGCCAGATGACTGTCCTGCCCAGGTGGCTTACTTCTTTGATATTATGGGTAACTTGGAATGCCAGGCCTCCAACCAGGCCAGAGAAATAGCCTTCCCTATTGGTCTCCACAGACCTCTTCCTTTAAGCTACTATAACCCAAATATTTCAAACTCAGTCATTTCAAAAGAGGATACAGTCATTTGCTAAATTTATCATATTTTGGGAATCTCCCTTTTCATCTTCAATTTAATGTCAAACATTAATGGATGAAAGAGTATTTTAATACCCCAGTTGTCCCATTCAAAAATAAAAACTTTAAAACTTTGAAGCCTTGCCCTAATACTGAGCCCTCTTCCAAGTCTGTTGTATTCCCATCACTGAGCCCATCAACATATCTTGCCTAGCAGGTGTTTGCTACTTTTACAAAGGCAAATTGTTTTTGAGCAAGGGAAAAAGGAAAATAAATGAAAATTGTTTGTAGTTTGTCAGTCTTATTTATGCAGTGTTGAAACCTTCATTAAAATGTTAGGCGCAATTAGTGTCTCTTAGCATAAATCTGACTGTGTAGAAGAACTAATTAGATGTTTAGGTGATCATTCTTGCATTTATCTTGTTTGCTGCAATATTGTGATTACTCAGTAATTTACATATTTTTCTAAGAAAACATAGCAAATTATTCATTACAATTGATATGGAAATACTTGAGGTAAGAGTGCAATCTCTGGTAAGCTGGTGGCAGTGAGGTATTTACTATACCTTGGTGTCAAACAACCTCTTACTTTGACTTTTTGGCAGTTAATAATGTTTGGCAAGTAGGTCATGAGAAATTGTCTAACTGAATAGTGAAGATTCCCAGAATCCTTTCTGTTCCTTTGCTTTGCATATCCATGTACATAACAGAGAACATTGGCTTTTGTAACCACTTTCAGCCTTTAGGCCTTTGACCATGAAAATTGAATAAAACATCAGGTGTATATGTATATAAGAGAGGCATATAAATCAAACATCTGTGATAATAACATTTCAGAAGAAATTTGTTTTCAAATAATTGCTCAATATGTTTGTAGAAATGTATATATAATTTTACCATTTATTAAACTGGAAATTTAAATACTAATGACATCTGATGGATGGCGGGCAGATATGAAGTATTTTAAGACAAAGAGTGTCATCAGCCTTTTTCAGGGCTGATTGATATTTTGTGTTTATAATTGTCAATGCTGAAAGTGCTACTTCACAAAAATACATGATATGTATATAAGAATAACAGAGAAAGGGCTCACTAAATTTAGGACAACATGGTCCTTATTTGGGAGAAAACCTGCAAAAGGGTCCCTGTGTGCAGAGCGGGTGGTAACAGGACTGAACAAGGAAAGAAGAATGAAGTGTTTCCTTTCTTAACCTGCAGGTAGCTGGGAAGTAGGGTGTCCAGTGGGGTGAAGAATGCCAGGCCACTAGCAGACATCTCTTATGGTCAGTTGTTTCTGGGATCAATAGATCAGGGAAACAAGAATCTAAAACCAAGTTGGAACCAAGTTATTTTAGTTCTGGGAATTGCAGTTGTTTTCACAATGAAGGCACTTTACCAATGGCATGGTCACAGCTAACAGCATGAAAGGGCTATCATGAGTTACTGGAAACTCTGTCTCAATCCTGAATTTTACAAAATGACACTGATGGCACAAATGTTGTTCAAGACTTATATACATATCATCAATTACCATGGACTTGCTATACAAAATGACAGGGAGGTAAAGGGATTAACAAAATATGGTAGAGCAAAACTTGTATTTCCAGTTCCATGGCCAGAGCAGCCTGAAGCTACTTTATCTCACACCTCCCAGGGGCATAGGTAGGTGGTTTGATTCAGGGTGGACAGCTGAAACTATCCTATTTGGGGCAGCAAACCCTTCTGCAAAGGGCTAGACACATACTAGCAACACTAGTTAGCCTAGAGTTAACTCTGAAATAGTGTCTCCAACCCTGGGTTGTATAAAATTACTTTGGGTTTGCAAAATTTTTGGTTAACAGTAAAGAGATTCTGAATTGGCAAAAGTCACAAACTAATTAAAAACACAACACACAATGAATCCCAGGTGTTTTTGATGGTACTCACCTATGTTTCATGGTGTAGCTTTATTGCAGCCCAATGCTGAACACACACCACATGCGCTGTACACACCATCACACAATAACCATACCACAATTCAAATAAACACTGTCTGAAACACTTGGATTTGAGACTGCTGTGGATTGTAGTGTTTTTACTCGACATACGAAGTTGTCTGTGTTTTTGTTTGTTTGTTTGTTTGTTTTGAGACAGGGCTTCTCTGATTAAGCCCTGGGTATCCTAGAACTAGTTCTGTAGACCAGGCTGGCCTTATACTCACAGAGATCTGCCTGCCTCTGCCTCCTGTGTGCTGGGATTGGAGGTTAGAGCCATCACTGCCCAGATAGTTTTCTGTTCTTATAGATAATAGTCTAATTATGTAAAATAGAGATTTCAATTTTCCTGTCATTCCTCAGCATTAAGGATTAGGTTGGTTGAGTCAAGGTTTCTAAATTTCGAAGCCCTGACTGTCCTGAAACTCACTCTGTAGACCAAGCTGGCCCTGACCTCACAGGAATCTGCCTGTTTCTGCTTCCCTAGTGCTAGAATTAAAGGTATATGCCATCATCACCTGCCCCCCCTTTTTTTAAAGACAGTCTCTCTCTATGTGGCCCTGACTGGCCTGGAACTCACTGTGTAGACAGGTTGAACTATATGTCACAGAGATCTACCTACTTCTGTCTCTGGAGGGCTAGTAATTCTACAGACATATGCTACCATGTTTGGACTCAGAATGTTTAATTTAAAAAAATTACTATTTAACTTGGAGGGTGGTGGCACATGCCTTTAATCCCAACACTTGGGAGGCAGGTGCTGCAAGCCCCAACACTGAAATAATTCAGGGAGAAAAAGTGCATCCAAAGGACTTTCTTTCTCCTACAGTCTTCCCAAGGAAAGGAAGCAAACATTGCCTTTAACTGCATTTCCTATAAACATTGTCCTGTCACATTGCCTAGATCATAGTTATAAAACCTACTCCGTTGTTGTATAAAAGATGAAAGTTTTTAAACATTTGATAAAAATTTTCTCACCAGTCATATGTAGAATTTTTAAATAAAAGAAATAATGAGAAAATTATGTCAAAGCTTCTAAAATTAAATATGAAATTGTATTTCAAACTTCAGAAACTACCACTCAGATTAACAGTATTCCTGTGGCTTTAGAGTCACTTGCAGTGGCTGCTCTGTTTCATCTGTGAATTATTTCAATCAGCAAGAGGCAGAGAAATAGACTGTCAGTCATCCTTCCATGGTTTCCTTGATTCATAACCCACACAATGACCAGATGGTCTGTTCAAAAAATATTGTTCTGTGCTGTACTGTCTTCCTGCGGTAAACGGGGATGTATTAGTAACTCAAAACCTTTTAAATTTGGACAACTTCCCTCACTGGATGTCAAATTAATGAGGTTGTGCTATAAAGAACTTGCTGCAAGACAGGTGATAATTATTTCAGACTTACAAATTTCCTGGCCAGGGTTTCAACTCAAACAGAGAGGAAGTGTAAATGAGTTGCCTGTGGCTGTGGGCACTGTTCTGTGGGTAACTGTTTAGCAAGACACAAGATGGTGGGGAAAATACCTCCCCTGACTTCTGCCTTATTTGATAAACCTCTGTTTCAAAAAGAAATGTTAACCTAACCACCTAAATGAACATTTAATGGAACACAACTGTTACTGTTATCATCTCTCCCAATATCAGATGAGTGGATATTCCCTGAAAGTGCTGCTCTGACTTCTGACCCATCATGTGCCAGTCAGTCTGTACTCCTAGAGGGGGACTCCTGCATGGATTCACACCTGTGCCTAGAAACCAGCAAGGACAGTGAACCTGACCAGGCAGAGGAAAGCCAGATGACTCCCGAGGACGTTTTCACCTTTTCATCTAGACCAAGATCGGCACCTCATGGGAAGAATCATGATATGTCCCCAAAGGGGCACCCATTTATTCTGAACCCCAAAGAAGACAACGGTCTGACAAGGAGAGATGCCCATTTGGAAGATGATTTTTATGGTACTGACAGCAGCGAAGAGGTACAAAACTTGATGAATAAAATAGGCTTAAAGCACAGTGTCCCATTCGTGCCAATAAGCATTAAAAGAAGTTGGAGTGAAAGAGTGGGAATCAATTGCTATTTATAAAAATGCACCAGATTGCTATGTCAGTCAACAGTTCCATCTCGTTGTTATGGTAACTCAAAATTTCTGGATTTTTTTTTATTATTAACAGACAATTTCATGTTTAATTATGGAAGCCAATTTTTTAGTTGTTTATGATTTTTTCATTTTAATCTTTGCCTCACAGAATTAGAAATAATTTATAGTTGAGTACATGATAACAAGACCACTGAAAAGCTGCCAACCCAGTGATCAGGGTCTCTGGGGAAGCAGTGTTGTGGTTGCTAAGCATTCGGGATTGACATTTTTCTGGCTCCTTCCTCCCCTGCCATCTTTTCACCTTAGAACTATTAGGACTCATTATTTTCCATATGGTCCCATAATTTCAAGAGTTGTGCCAATTAAAGGTTAGATAATGAATCATGAATTAGTACTGGGACCCTCCTTACAGGAGGTGTTTGTCTGGAATTATTTAGAATATAAATATATTGTAAGTTAGTAAACTGATAAAAAAAGTTTTCTTACAAATTTGTTGAAACTCAAACTGAATATGGCTTAGAAATATTTGTTCAAAAACTAATTATTACAACTTTATCTCTGTGAAATTAATCATCTATGTGTGTGCATATGTGTGTACATATGTGGTTTGTGTGTGTTGGATACACTTGTGTACAGTGCATGTGGAGGCCTTGGATATCATTTCCACCACTTTTTTTCTTTCTGAAGCATGGTCTGTTATTGCATTGGAGCTCACTAAATAGGTTATGCTGGCAGGCCCTGTGTACAGTGTGTTGTAGATTATGTCCATACCTCCATGTGCAATGCCAGCCAAGAATATGGGGGCATTGCTTAGAGCTTTAACAGTAATGATGGGGTTTACATCTTCTAATGAATTTTGTTTGCTAAATGTATATAGAATCATTTTATATAATATTCCAACTTCTGCATGTGCTGAAGTAATACATGATGCTAAGCATAGTACATTTCATGCCACCATGTTAAATGTTGGACATATCTGTATGTCTTTTGCCGTTAAATCATTAAGCTGCAAAAACTTCATTATTTAATAGGACTTCCATCCTGTGGCAGCACTTCTAAGGTTTTATTTGGCAAAACTGGTCAGTTTATTCTTAACATTTCATACTTATAAGGGATAGGCTTATGTCTTTCCAAGGAGCACAGGACACTGTCTTTCTTCTCTAGCCCAAAAGATGTACTTTAATAGTAGAAATTTCCTGACAGATGAGAAATAGTCGTTCTCTGGGAAACAATGACAGCAGTTTTATGAGGACTACCCTGGAAAAAGCATGTCATGAGGAACTTAGCTGTTATGTCTGTATGACGTATATGCCTCAAGCAATCAAGTTTTACAGGGAATGGAAGACTTTCAGTTCTGTAGTTTGTATTTGATATCACTCATGTGCTTTCTTTTTCTACTACCTCTTCTACTTCTGATGCCCTTCAGTTCTTATTTTACCAAAAATGTATTTATTAATAACTATATCAAATTGAAAATAAATTCATCATGCATTCCCCCCAAACTATGTGACCAGGAGCATATAGCTGGAGTCTGTGGTGGGACCATCTCAGTACTAACACCTGCCTGGCTCACTGTTAATCAAAGCCTCCTAAGAATGCCAAAAGAGAAGGGACAGAAACCTTTCCATATTACAGAGTCAGAGACACTAATAAGATACAACCCAAAATATTACAATGTTTAAAAATAAAAAGCTGAGGGGCTGGAAAGATGGCTCAGTTGTTAAGAGCACTAGCTGCTCTCCCAGAGGATCCGGGTTCAAAACTCAGCACCTACCTGGCAGCTCACAACTGTCCATAACTCCTCTTCTAGGGGATCTGATTCCCCCTTACAGACATACTTGCAGACAAACACGAATGTATATAAAATAAATAAATTATCTTTAAAAAATAAATAAAAAAATAAAAAGCTGAACTATATTCATTCGCATAAGTATAATTACAAAACCTATTTCCTTTTTTGTTTGGTTGTTTGCTGGGGTATAGCTGGAGTTTCTGTTCCACCTGGTCCCACAGCCAGTTAGCCCCAAATAAACACACAGAGACTTGTGTTAATTATTCAACGGTTTGGCTAAAGGCTTAGGCTTCTTATTGACTAGCTCCCTCTTAATGATTAACCCATTTCTATTAATCTAAGTATTTCCACGTGGTGTTGTCTTACTGGAGAATCTTGTTCCCTCAGCAGCTACATGGCATCTGCTCTGGAGGCTTCTTTCTGCATCCTCTCCCCAGCGTTCTCCTATACTTCATGCCTGGCTACTGAGCAGCTACATGGCATCTGCTCTGGAGGCTTCTTTCTGCATCCTCTCCCCTGCGTTCTCCTATACTTCATGCCTGGCTATATATAAAATGTGACTGCTAGACTGCCAACCAGTGTTTTATTTATCAACCAATGAGAGAAACATATATACAGAAGGACAACCCCCATCACTGGTGAGGGGTCTCATATACTTTCTTGCAGGATAACTTCTCTTATTTATTGATTTATAAGCCATTGAGTTATATTTTTAGTATTCATTTTATATACATCTCCAAGTTAGAAGAAATTAGTTTAGATAATTGGACCATCCTTAATGTTAGTTACATTGTTTTGGGCTGTTACATCCTTAGAATAAGATAATTATAGTTAAGGAAAGCATTAATATTTTATTGTACAAACTGGTAATAATTATATTATTTATTATACTTGAAACTTGTACTTAGTGATTAAAAGACTTTCTGTAGTGCTTGAGAAGTGAGTAGTATTTAAGGAGAAACTAGTTTAAATTCAGTAACATACAAAGCAGGTAGAATCAGATTATGCTGTTTGATAGACAGAAAGTACACAGTCTGTAGTAAAGACCCCTCCGAATAAGGCTCTAGGGATATATAGTCTTGATGATGTAAGGTGCTACTACCTTAATTAGTTCACATCTGAGATCACTGTTTGAGCCTCAAAAGGATGAATTTTTAAAGTATTCTCTACACTCTGCTTGGTGTGTATTTTATTCCCCAGGCTGTCATATATAGTAATAGCTGGTGCTCAATTAATTTTGAAGTTGTACCTTTTATTTGAAAACAGCATTACAGAAACATATTTCATGACAAGCTATAAAATTGAAACTACCATGTAAATTGAATTATCTTAGGAAAGCTATTAAAACAGAGGTCTTTGCATACTGACACATCATCTAAAAGAAGCCATTTGGTGTCTTGTCATTATCCCCAACATGGCTAGTAGATGCACCTGGTTTGCAACTTGAACTAGCTTTAAATTAATGTTTCATTATGCCCTTAATTTAATTTTATCTAGATCTATAGTACTATCACTTCCCACCACCCCAACTGTGGCTATGTAGCACATACTGAAGGAGATGGTTTCAAACACACATACTCATCCTCTACAGCGATTCATATTAGAGCATTGGGACCCCATAATATCCATCGTTTCAAACACACATACTCATCCTCTACAGCGATTCATATTAGAGCATTGAGACCCCGTAATATCCCTATGAGACACAAATTAATATAGACTGACTGCCTGTCACAGTGAGATTAGGTGGGAAAGCTTCCATAGCTTCTTTCCATCCAGTGGATAGAAACTAGCAAGGGACAGTTGTGTAAACAACTATGTAAAATACCTGCATCTCTTCTTTCCTGGTATTGTTACTTTTAAGGTATTTTTAACATTCAGTAATTTAGCTATTTCATTTTGTGTTTTCTCCTAATAGAATGTATTACTGGGTTGTACTATAAGTTATCCACCTCCACATTCCTTTAAATAGCCTCTTTCACACATCTGTATACATATAATGGAAAGTATGTTTGATTCACATGTGATATGTATAGTCTTGAAAACTTTTAAATGCCAACATATGTATTAGGAAAATGGAAGGACTTTTAAATATATTGCCTCACATATTTTTCCTGTATTTTATGCATTGTAATGTAATGTACTCTCAAGAATGACCTGCAGATAAATCTAACATTTATTCTGTGTGAATAATCCTTTTGGCCTGTTTATTTCAGTATGTCTTTACTATTGCTCACTGAGGCATTTCTGAAAAAGCCACAGGCTGCCTGGTCCCCTCTGCTAGACTGCATTGTTGTACAGGTGGTGATAAAGGCATAAGTTAGTCCTCTACTTAAAACCCAACATTCTACCATTTTTGTAGAAACTGATGTTTTTGGATATCAGTGTTTGCTTTTGGGTGGGACTTTGTGTAAGAACTCTCTAATATCAAATCTACTGCATTGGAAAATGTGATTTGTCTTGAACATTTATGGGAACCTTATGACTTCTTCAAATATTCATATGCTTATACTTTCCCATCCCAGGCAGTCATTGCCTCACCACAGAATTACAATACTGTAACAGAGTCAGACATGGTGGAGGATGGGTGCTTGCTAAGAACCTCCATGTCCTCCTTGCAGTTTATTTACAAGTGAGTGCAATGACGGCTAAGGCACTGCTGTCACTTTTTCTTGTCATCCTGAGAAACTGAGACTTTGAGGATTCCTATAACAGTGAAGAAGTGTAAATCCATTTTGGAGATGGTTGTTCCAAAGACATTTAAGATACATGGAATGGTCAGTCTTGTTTTCATGAAACAACATAAGTATTATCTATACTGTCTCAACTGTTAGCCAGGCCTGTTGTCTAGCTGAAAGGGTTGTCAATTAGAACGTTTAAAATGTTGGCCGAAATGAAAACTTCCACTCACCAGACTGCAATTCAAGATTGCCATCAAAGATGAACTTAGAATATTGCAGATATGTTTTATTGCATTTTAAGAATGTTATAGACTTTTTTCTTTAGGTAAATATGATTATCCATTTTTACAAAGGCTAGAATGAGTTCTGTCCTGATTCACTCAACATGAAAGTTGTGATTCAAA